AGTAACGACGTGGAGCGATGGTGGGATGCCTGGGCCCTCACGCCGTGTAGGCACCGCCAACTGCAATGCGCCCGCCCGCACGGGGCACTCGGCACCACTTCTATGCAGCAAGTTTTGAACCAGCTTTATAAAAACCATATCATCTGTCCCATTTAATTAAAATCATTAGCCTGAATTTTAAATATGTTGTAGCTCTGTTGGCAGTTAAATTATTAATATGATTTGTTTTACCATTTCATAGAAGCAATAAGCATTAGGAGACTGAAAAGAATTTTATTTTCTAAATGTTGAAATAACATTATACTGAAAAATGTGTCAGGTTTTTTTTGTTTTTGTTTTTTTTTCTGTACTTTAAATGAATTCTATGCATAACTAAGTTGGCGAAGCATTCTAATGTAGGTGAAATTCATGGTAAAAGGCCCAAAGGAGGTGCCCAGAAAGGCCATTTCCTTGCAGGGGTGTGTGGGATGAGGGTGTGCCTTCAGCATGTTCGAGGATATAAAGAATGGCACAATCATAAATAATCATAAATATATTTATTCATCACTTTCTCTGTGTGCCCATGAACATGCTAAAGATGTTGCATAGATTATCTTTCTAAATATTCGTAAGTGTTTGGAAACATAGAATGCTATCCACTTTAATATGCCACCTTCCTGCCCTCAAGGATTTGACAATCTACTCAGGAAATGGTTCAGGCATATAAAGAATTCCTAGGAGGTTATGAGTGTCAGATGCTAAAGGAAAGGTGCATGTGAGCTCCAAGGAAGGAGGGTTGTCTAGAAGGTTTCATGAAGTGAGGGTCAGCCCTGGATAGGCAGGGTTGGTGCAGTGTGCTATCTGTTCCTCCAAGTTCACTGTCCTCCTTCTGCCCCTTGCTCTGGACCCCTGGGAGGCAACCTTTATAGATGACAGTCACAGCTTCTCTTGGATCTGGCTTCCCTTTCGGATCTGCCCAATGGTTCCATCTTGTTCCGTAGAATCTTGAGAGAAGCTTTCTACTTCTGGAGGTTCTGGAAGTCCGCCAGTGAGTCTCAGGTCAGAGCATCAGTGGGACTGGAGGTTCAGGATGTAGGGTCCAGTCGTGGTCCTTGACAGAGCAGTTTTACAAGAATTTTTATGGGTACCACTTTTAATACGTTTAGTCTCTGTGTTGTAGCTATGGGTGTCCCCTTGGAAATGCAGCTTTCATCTCTTGGGAGTGTAACAGTGCACATTAGCTAGACACTCAAAGATGAGAAAGTATCAAGGTGAAACCAGTCAGAGGAGAAGTCAAGCCAAGATCTTACAAAGGTACGAGGTGGTTATGGGAGGGTAGGAAGAGAGGGGCCTGGCTCTTCATTCCCTGGCCACCCGCTTCTTGGTGAGCTGGCTGCTCCCCCTAATATAGACCAAGTTCATTGTCAGGCGGCCCTCTCCTTACAGCTGCCCTGCCTGGTTCTTCCATTGCTTCCCCCCCTTGACCCTTCAAGCTTAAAGGTAATGCATATTCTCAACCCCCATCCCTACCGCTGCTGCTAGGCCTGCGAACCTGTTCTCACCTCGGTGAAAAGTCCCTTTATTAAACCCTCTTATTACCCAGTTTGAGTATGCATCTGCTTCTCCCTAACCTCTGACTGAGATCTGGAAGGTTGGAGACCAGTATAAGGGACTTCAC